ACACAATATTCTAGGTGAGGTCTCACCAAGGAATTGTATAATCTTAGCATTACCTCCCTTGACTTAAACTCCACACACCTGGAGATATACCCCAACATCCTATTGGCCTTTTTTATTGCTTTCCCGCTCTGGCGAGAATGAGACATGGAAGCATCAACATACACACCAAGGTCTTTCTCATAATCAGCTACCTTTATTTCAGTAGGCTATATCCAATGCTTTTTCTGCATGTTCTTAAAGGCACACGGCTGGGACCAGCGGACCTCATCCGTTATGGATGATATTCCGTTATAAGCGAGTCCACTTTAATGGGATTTTACTGTAATTAGTTCCCATGCTAATATTTGTGACATTTTTCTGCAGAATTTTAAAAAAAAAAAGGGGTTTCAGTTTATGTGATCACAATAATCGATTAATTGAACCATAATAGAAATGAAAGGCTTTTGAATCTCTCCCTCAATAATCGTAGTCGAATTGCCTTGCAGCTAATAATTTACACCCCAAATTCCTGCATCCCCACAAGGTCACTTAGGATAGATCAGTGATGCTTCATTAATCCCCGTGGAGTAATTCTTTTCGCTTTACCCCATCTTGCCTTTCATGAGCCAGACACATATACAGGTAAGAGTGAAATTGGGGGTCACAGTGCAGGGTCAACTAGCATGCAGCACCCCTGGAACTGGGGGTTCAGTGCATTGTAAAAGGGCTCTCCGATGTGGTTGTTCTGTCAAGGCTGGGGCTCAAACGGGTGGCTTTCTGATCACTGGCATAGAGGCTTAGGCTGTGGAGCCACTCAACCCCTCTATGGGTTGAATGCCCTGAGATAAAGACTGGAAAAAAAGGGGTGATCACCCCTTAGCGACAGCTAAACCTCTTGACATTAGAACAACACCTACGCTGACTACTTTTAAACCACTGCTCAAAACCCATTTTTATTCCTTGGCTTTTAATTTGCTTTTTATTTTTAAATTATTGTTTATATTAGCTTTTATTTTATTGTTTTATTGTATATTTTTAACCTTTTCTTTACAGATGTGCTTATTGGTTTCTATGCTGTACAGTACTTTTATCAGTGGATGTTGACATGGACATATATTGCTGGAAACTCATCCACCGTGATAACTCATTTGAGGCAACATCATCCAAGTTGTGTACACTGCTGTGGCAAGTCTTCCTCGGGCATTTAAGACACTTTTGCCAGGAAATTCTGACCGGGCTAAAAAAAAAATAGCCACAGTTATAGGGGTGTTTATCACTACTAATGTGCGACCATACTTAGTAGCGGAGGAGAAAAAAATGAGATGGGATTTAATTCATTACGATTGCTATGATGCATTCTTATTTTTAATTTTTATTTATTTTGCATATTTTTATGATGTGCAAATAAGCATCTCTTAGGTTTTGTCATTCAGCCAGACTTACAACCATCTCTAATTGTGCTTGAGCTTGCCGTTTTAATAAGTAATTTTAAAGCAAAATCAGTTTTTCTCTGCTGTACTGAAATTTCACCAAACCATGAACCCAAATGGAGGTTTGCACAGAGCCATTTATTTTCCTGTTGCTGTTTCACCCCTAGTGTAATTGTTGCCTTCCTTTTCTTCTCAGAATGCCCCAGATTCTGTTTATGTGATCTTGGTTGGATGGAGGGTGTTCTTTTCTTCTCCTGTATTTTCTTGGTGTGAATAGTTGAGCCTAGAAATGTCTCCTGACTTAAGTACTCCTGTTATGACAGGGCCTGAGATTAGATCTTGTCAGCATGGTGTGTAGTTCGGATCTGGTCTGTCCTCTTTGGAGTGCATCCCTAAACAGTCATACAGTTGTGTTTTTAGAAGAGTGGGCCCAGCAAGAGCTCCTGACCATGACCCGGGAAATGTCATCCTTGTGCTGTGAGCAAGACATTCCTTCTCTCCAAAGGATAAACCTATTCATTAGGGTTCAGGCATTGAATTGAATCGAACTTTGATGCTATGTTATGGCACCAGGATAGAGGTGAAGGTGGCAGTGAGGTAATATTAGCATAGCTGTCGGCCAGACCTATTTATCTATCTGGGTATTTGGCAAGTTGTTCAGGTCACTTGTTGAATGTAAAATTATATATTTCCCTTTACCCTATTGTATGATACCAGGATCTGGTGATTTGGTAACATCAGGGTTGAAATGTTGTTGAAGAACCAGGCCGTTAGTCCCATTCTGACATTTGTCTTCGAGGCTGTTGATCCATGTAAATCTGGCTTTGTTCAGCAAATCTGAAGCCAGGTCATAGCTATCAGCTGAGAAGCATATTTTGATTTCTCTGTTTCTATGCTTCTTTCCTGTGACCTCTGGGTGATCCGCAGCCCTGTTAGGCAGCTGTGTGTCTCTGGCCTTTCTTGTCAGGTCTCTGGGTGCTCTTACATGCTCTTCCTACTAGGGCTGGGTATTGGCGAAGATGCCCCGATTTGATTTGATTTAATTCTGCTTCACAAGCTAACAATTTGATTCAATCTGATTCAGTATCAGTCTGATAGGAATGAGATATGACATACTGTGTAGCAGCTTTCCTTATTTGGAGAGATGATTAAAAGGCGCTAAATGGAACACTAATTTATGAAGGTAGATATAGTGGAAACAACAAATTTTGAAAACCACTAAGGAAAGGCTTGTATAGCAAGTATCAGTCTAAAACTCACCCGCCATGTTTCAGAAGGACTATAACTTAAAGATATGTGCTAAACCAATTAGAACCAATTAGAATCTTTTTATTTGGGGAACATATGGGTATTATTTAGGGTTGGGAATAAGCCTTGACCTCACAATTCGATTCGATTTCGATTCTATTTCATTCAGTTTACATTTAAAATATATTCACTAATGTGACATGTAACCACATTTGTTGTAAAAAAAAAAATAAAAAAATGTCAACACACAGCACTGTATCATGCAGAACAAAGCAACATAATTGTTACCATAACAGAATGAAAATAAGATAACGAAAAACAATATATGATAAACATGAAATTTATACTTGTGCTTACCCGTGAATACATTGAAATGTTTTATCCACACTTTAATTAATAATTATTAATTAAATGTTAATCAATTAATTATGCCTCCAGAGTTTGAGGCTTTCATTTGCTTAAGTGTTACCAATGACGTTTGGGGGAAAAAGAAACAGATAATGAACAATATATTCATAACTGACAGCAGGTGACATATAGGGCTGTCACTATTGATTATATGAATATGAATTGAGTAATCTATTTGACGATTCATCAAGCAAACATTTGTATATAATTTCATATAATATTATGTAATATATAATTAGCTCGAGGCAGGAACCATCCAGCCATTCCAGAATGCACACTCAATCACACAGTCAATTTCAGCATTCCAGTTCACTTTAGTTACATGTTTTTGGACAGTGGAAGGAAATCGGAGGATCTGCCGAAAAGCCATGTGTACACAAGGTGAACACGCAAGCGCTGCAAACATGATGCGGTGGTGTGCTGCGATGTTATTGTGGACGTGGCATTTCATACACATGCAGTTGTCACATTGTAAGGACCGCGATAGTCCGCGCTAAAATATTTCTTACTCGGTCATTGGAAACAAGACTTAGCTAGCTATGCAATTTTAATGATGGTTCTTTTTCAGAATTTTTTAGAAGTGCTTCCACAGATCTGATGCCTTCACTTGTTATTTGGACTCTCATCCACTGTGTGCCATCTTCCTTCCTCCATATTGTCAAGTAATCGAGAAGGAGAATTTTAATCAGTCCTTTTTAATAATCAAGTAATTAAGTTTAATCAAACAATCATGACAGCTCTAGTCACATCCAATATTATCAGTTTTCCGTTTGCTTCTGTTTATTTCGCTTTGTTTATTTTGCGTTTCTATATATATTACTTTGCGTCACTTTAAACAGTGTGTTGAACATGATTGGTGTGAGAATAAAGCCCTACTTGACTTGAATTGCTTGCATTCACGTGCTGGAGTACTCCATTACCATGACTGAATGCACCAAGATGGTGATGAGAGGAGATAGGACAGAATGTTGCACCACCTGTATGATAACTAGACCTGATGTCTGTCTTTTTCATACGTTTATGTGCTCTTTTGTTTTAAAGTTTCCTTATGGAATGTCAAATTGAGCGAGTGTACCAATGTGATTTGAATTTCACTACTAATGTCCATATTCAGCGACGGCTTGTGATGGCAGTGATGAAATGGTGCTTTGTACTTCATCCACGTTGTTGGCTGATAAAGCAGCACCTCTGGAGTGTTAGCTTGGACTGGAGGTGGAGAGTGGACAGCCTTGCTTCATGACTGTCTAATTGTGGAATAGTGTCTTTTACCCATTCCTTGTCTCTCTCTTCTCCTCCCCCCCCCCCCAACCCCCCCCGATTTTTTTTGCTTTTTAAAAACCATCCAG